CTTGGTGTTATCAGCACCGCACTCTACTCAGCCAGTGAGCGAACCGGCCATCCCTATGTGGGATCCGAACCCGGGGCCTTGGTGTTATCAGCACCGCACTCTACTCAGCCAGTGAGCGAACCGGCCATCCCTATGTGGGATCCGAACCCGGGGCCTTGGTGTTATCAGCACCGCACTCTCCCGAGTGAGCCACGGGCCGGCCCGGAACCCGATTCTGACACATCATGATTGACTGGATAGTATGGCCCTGAAGAAGGGCTTGCTCCCCTTTTCTCAGCCCAGGAACCCTGGAAAATGGAGATGCGGCGCTAACAGAGGGGGGCCGAAAACCCCCACTCTCCAATGTTAGGATACTCCCAGGATGTGAGGCCAGGGACTTTCTGGAAGTGTTTATTCTGACCCCACCCGATCCCAGGCAGACCACAGCTCTTTCTGCACAGTCGGGGATGGGGGTAGGGGCTTGAACAGACTTGGAACCTGAGGAGGGGGCTGGGCTCCGGGTGACGCCTCCCAAAGACCACATTGTCACCTTGCCTCAGCTCTGCCCTCCAGGCTCTCAGAGGGTAACTTTGGGCCGCCCATTCCTCCTTCGGCTCTCCACGCCTCCTCTGATTCCCTGAACCAGAGCGAACCAGGCGGAGCTCGGTTCCGCTCTCCTACCCGGAGTTGGCATGGAGCGGGGGGCGCCGGAAAAGCCCCAGGCGCTCTGAAGTCCTGCCCTTGGTGCCTTCCCTTTGCGGGGGTGGGCGCCGTCTTGCGTGTAAGGGCCACGTGCCCCCTGGCCGGGCCGGGGCTCGGCCCTCCCCTCCCCGGCCCGGGTGACTCAGGCCGCAGCTGTTCTCGCGTCACGAGGAGGCTGCCGGCCACCCGGAGGGGGAGAGGCTGTGGCTGGAGCCCGGGGCGGGGCCGCGCGGCAGGAGGGGCGGGAGCCGGAGGGGCACAGCTGGAGAGCCCCAGAGCCGCGGCGGGAGAGGAGCGCTCAGCCTCGGGGAGCCCAGGTGAGGCCGCGGGGCGCCCGGAGGACGTGGGCGCGCGGTGGGAGAAGACCATTGGGAGTTCCCTCCTCCAGGGGCTCGCCCCGAGCCGCTCCCGAGGCCCTCAGGCAACTTTGCTTCAAAGTTCCAGAAGCCGGGGCGGGGTGTGGCGGGGGTGCTGGCCGCACTTTTTTTCGGGGGAGGAAAGGGTTCAGGGGAAAGTGGCTCTCAGAAGGTCGGGGTTGGGCGGAGGACCGTTTTTAGGGGCCGGTTGGGCGGGGAAGGGGTGTTCGACGTCTGGGGGCTGGCGGGTCGAGGGTCGGTGTCGGGCTCCAGCCCCTGCCGGCGCCCCTGGATCTGTCCCGGGCCCCGGAGGCGGCGGGACGGAGTCCGGGCCTGGCGGCCGTCGCCCCCACCCCTCTCTTGCCAGGGAGGAGAGGGGGCTGGGAGACGTGGATCTGACCGCGGGTTTCCGGGTGGGAGGGGCCGGGAATGGGGGCCGCGCAGGGAAGGCCTCGAGGGCCGGCCGGGAGCCCGGAAACTGAGGTCCCCCCTCGGCCGTTCTAATCCCCCTCCCGCCCTCCCCTCTGTCCCAGGCCCAGCAGCCATGGCGGTGGAAAGAGGAATGAAATGTGTCAAGTTCTTGCTCTACGTTTTTCTGCTGGCCTTTTGCGTGAGTGGGGAGGGGGGCGGCGAGGGCGCGCTTGCAGGGTGCGGGAACCCTGGCTCTGGAGTGGTGAGGGCTGAGGGACCAAGAATGAAGGCCGCTGGAGGCCAGATGCGGAAGGAAACCCTGGGAAAGACAGCGTGGCCACCCCCTCCTCCAGCTTTCGTGGACTCCCGAGGCCTGTCTGGACCAAGAATGGCCATTCTAGGTGTCCAGACCTCCCACCCCCACCCCTGCTGGCCCTTCCTGTCTGGTGACCCAAACACTTGTGATTGGGGTAGTGGGGCAACCAGCCAACGGCCTGATGCTATCTATCACCATGGGGCTTCTCATCCTCCCCTACCCTCTCTTCCTCCTACACCCCCTCACCCCTCTTCCTTCCCTCTCCTCCATCTCCCTTCTCAGCTGCTTGGGGTTGAGGAAGGGCTATACCCATCTCAATTTGCTCCTGCCCTGGCCTCCTGGCTTAAGAGGCTACTGTTTGTCCAGGGAGGGGCACACTACTCTCGCCCCTTTTTCTTCCTCCCTTCTCCTCCCTGGCCCAGCTGGACTGAGGAAACTTAAGTCACAGCTGATGTCCCTGGGGTGGGGACTGGAGGATAGGGAGGGGACAGTTCTAGGAGAGGGCTGGGAGCCCTAGAAAGTACTACTCTCCTTCAGGAACTTGTGCACTGAGGTCAAGGCTTTCTGGAAACTTCTCTTTTTGCATTTGGTTAGTCCCCTAGTTGAAAAGCTGCTTGAAGGAAGGCAGGCTTGGCTCTTGACTCCCTTCTTCCTGAGTGCCTTGAACATTTCCCCAGCCTTCACTGTGAGAACAAGGATCGGTCATCCCCCTCCCCCAAGTCAAAAGTTTCCCAGAGGTGTGAGAATTTCTCTGTCCAGGATAGGGTCAAGTCTGTGTCTTGGATGCACCCCCTGCCCTCTGTCATGGAGAACTGCTGGGTCGTGGGTCTGGCCTAACCCTCATTTGCCTTTCTCTTAGGCCTGTGCAGTGGGATTGATCGCCGTAGGTGTAAGGTTCCACCTTGTCCTGAATCAGACCATAACCCAGGGGGCTACCCCTGGCTCCCTGTTGTCTGTGGTCATCATTGCAGTGGGTGCCTTCCTCTTCCTGGTGGCTCTTGTGGGCTGCTGTGGGGCCTGCAAGGAGAACTACTGTCTTATGATCACGGTGAGTGGGGTATGGGACCAGCATGGAGCCTAGGACTGCTGAAGGGCATTTCTATGTTTGGGGCTCACGAGGGTGGGTGAGGTGAGGTGAGGTGGGTGGCTGAGGAAGATCTTTGTGAGTGTTCCAGGGACCGGCTGGGCCAGAGCAGACCCCTCTCACCCATAGACTCCAAACCTGACTCCTGTCCTTTGCTCCTGCAGTTTGCCATCTTCCTGTCTCTTATCTTGCTGGTGGAGGTGGTTGTAGCCATTGCTGGCTATGTGTTTAGAGACAAGGTAAGCAGGGAATAAGGGAAGTGTCCTGCCTCAGGCTGCACTGGGATCCAGGTACCTGAATTCTGACCTCAACAATGCTCCTCCTTACTCTCAGCTGCGGTCAGAGTTTGATAAGGACTTCCGGCAGCAGATGCAGAATTACTCAAACAACCAAACGGCTTTACTCCTAGACTGGATGCAGGAACATGTGAGTGGGGTTGCTGAGAGTGGGCATAGTGGGGAAAGAGGATTCTCACTCCATATTAAAGGTGGAGGTTCACTTAACAGCCTTCTCCCCCATATCTCTCCCCTCCAGTTTAATTGCTGTGGGGCTGCTAACTACACAGATTGGGAGAACATCCCTTCCATGGCCAAGAACCAAGTCCCTGACTCCTGCTGCATCAATGTCACTGCGGGCTGTGGGACTAATTTCAACAAGGAGGCGATCCATAAGGAGGTAAAGAGGAGACAGATAGTGCGGGACTTGGGAAACCTGGGAAATGTTTCAGGAGGCAAGAGAGACCTGGGATGGAGGCGATGGATCAGGGATGGGGAGGGGGTCTGGGAATGCTAGGGGTGAGGTGAAAGGTACAGAGGGCAGGGAAGAGACAGATGGATCAGAGGGGGTGGGTGGGGAGTTTCTGATGGTGCTCTTGCCTTGTGTGCCTGCCACCCTTCAGGGCTGTGTGGAGAAGATTGGGGATGAGCTGAGGAAAAATGTGCTGGTGGTGGCTGCAGCAGCCCTGGGCATTGCTTTTGTGGAGGTGAGTGATGCTCTTGGCAGGGGTTGGGACTCAATCCAGGGCATCTGGGGAGTAGGGAAAATGAGGGGGAGGGTGCTGGGCAGGAGGTACTGGCCTGGGGAGGGCCCTGGCTGTGTCTGGGGTCCCACTGGTGGGTCTCGGGTAGCTTGCCCTTCTGACTCTACTGCACCCTCCTCTCCATCTTTCCTTCTAGGTCCTGGGAATTGTCTTTGCATGCTGCCTCGTGAAGAGTATCCGAAGTGGCTATGAGGTGATGTAGGGGGTCTGGTCTCTTCAGCCCCCTCATCTAGGGGGAGTGGAGTAGTATCCTCCAGGTTTTTCAATTAAACGGATTATTTTTTCAGACTGAAAAGAGAGATGGTCTCAGTTTGTATTAAAGAGTGATACTTGATCCCTTCCCTCTCCTTATCTATGTTCCCTGTCCTCTGGGACCTTGCTCTATGTGTACCTCTGGGAAAGGCAGGCCTATTTTGGGGGGTGTTTGGGAAAGGAGGAGTTTGCTGAAGGTGTTAGTTGGGCCGGCAGTGGCAGAAGCAGGAATCTGGAGGAGGCATGGCCCAGTGCCCTCCCTGTCCCCTAGTATTATGCTGCCATCTTCAGTGCAGGAACATTCATGAGGCCATCTCCTGTATAAGTCAAAGGGATTCCCCACAAAGGTCCTACCTGGGAGAGCCCAGCCCACATATACCTTGGACATCTTACCCCTGGCCTCTGTGCACCTCTGAGGGCCCAGCAACTCCCTCCCGCTCCAGTCCTCAAGGTGACCTAGCTCCTGTCAGGGTGGTGGCCTTGACACCTGTGTGGCCAGTGTCCCTCATTCTTGACTTAGATTAGATAGTAGGAGAATTTAAGTGAGTATTGCCTTTTCTTCCATGGAAACCACCTAGCCTGGCCCTGACCCCTCTTCATCACCTCCTCCCCCAAGAAAAACAGATAAAGGTCATTCCCAGTACAAACACTGAACTGCAGTCCTGTAGAAAATAAGGGAAATGTCCAAAAGGGCCATTTGATGGCCACTCCTCCAGGTGCAGTTTCAAATATCACCTACAGGCACAAGACAGTTCCCTTGCACCCCCCCAGTGAGTGCTAGCTGTTTTGCAGGCACTAAATAGGCCAGAGATCTTGGGCAGTTAAGTCAGCTTAGCTGGCACATAAATGGGGATCAGTCTCCCACTCGGCACTTTCATTTCTGCCCACCTGTTTTTTTTTTTTAAACAATATACATTTATTGAGTGCCTATTTTGTGTCAGGCACCAGGCACTACCGGGCAAGGACAGAAATAACAACCTTGAAAAACAATCTCTTGCTAGAAGGGTGGATTCAGTAGACTGCCTGGGCATGCTTAGGAAGGACCCAGGTGAGCACAGCATCCACCAGGCTGGCTGGCAGGTAGGAAGCAGGCAGCCAGAGCAGCTTGGCGTCCCAACCTGGGCTGTAGCGGGTTCGGGGATGACGAGCTGTAAGGGCATGCTCCAGGCACCTGCTCACCTTGGTTAGGTCCGGGTCACAGATCAGATTCATGATGCGCCGCTGCACTTTCAGGTCTGCAGCCCCACGGGCAGTTGTAGTCAGTTCCCTACTCCAGCCCATGTTAGGCCCTATCTTTTGATTCCTGAGGCTTGTTGCCCAGGAGAGGTGAGAAAGATCCTTAATCACCTCCTCAGTTTGGGGCGTGGGCAGGTTCCGTGTGGTCCGGGCACTCTCCTGTGGTATCCATTCACCCTCATCCCCTCCCTGGCTGCCCTGCCCACGTCCTCCCAGTGGGCTGATGTGGGCTGGCCTTTCTGGCACTCTCATTTCCCTTCATCTGCCTCTGTATGGGCCCAGTTACTCACACTTGGTGAGGAAGTCCTCCCCATAGTGGGCCCGTGTGTCTGGAGGTAGCCGTGTCCAGCAGGCCTGCAGGGCGTTCTCCATACCCTCCAGGTTGGTCACGGGGGTTCGGAAGAAGCCAGGCTCCACGATGGAGACTTGTATCCCAAAAGGAGCCACATCCCGCCTGGAGTGGGGACAGAGGGAGGTTTCTCGGTTCTTGCCCTTTAGGGAGGGGACATTCAGGGATACGGGTGGGGGAGCCAAGATGAGAAAGTTGTCATAGGCCAGGGACAGAAGTCCTGACAGTAAGGGAGAACCCTACTGTGCTGGGACAAGGGGCAAGTGGGGCAGAGGGAGGTAGGTGTATTCGAGGTATGTTTTCCTTTATATTTTCTTCAATGATCTAAAGCAGGGGTTGGCAAACTTCTTAAAGGGCCAGATAGTAAATATTTTAGGCACTGCAGGCCAAGAAACAAAATTAATGATACTATTAGGTACTTATATTACTATTTACAATGTAACCACTTAAAAATGTGAAAACCATTATTAGCTGGTAGATGATTGGCCGGATGTGGCTGGATGTGGCCTGAGAACCACAGTTTGTCAGTTCCTGATTTAGAGGAACCCCATTCCCTAGCTCCCATAACAGGGTTGAGCCCTGAGTGCTAGATATGAAGGGTATTAGGCTGGTATCTGCTGGGGGTAATCTGATGGGGAAAGTGGCAATACATCCCTTCACCTGGCATAAATGCAGAAATCCAACTGTTAAGTATGTGTTCCATAATGCCGACTGGAAAATTAAAGACTGAGGAATAGATACAAAAATAGACATTGAAATTCTTTTTTTTTTTTTTTTTGAGACCGGCTGCACCGCGCTCAGCCAGTGAGCGCAGCTGCCATCCCTATATAGGATCCGAACACGCGGCGGGAGCGCTGCTGCGCTCCCAGCGCCGCACTCTCCCGAGTGCGCCACGGGCTCGGCTCGACATTGAAATTCTTTGCTGAGTGATGGTGATGAGGGCAGGCTTCCTTAGAGGATAGGCCCAGCTTGGGCAACTTGTATTTGAGCTCAAAATTCAGGCCCTGCTTCTGTTTGTCCTCATCAAGTCTTCTTTGTGCTCCCATAGAATTTTGGACATTACTGTTTAAAGATGAGGAGCAGAACATAATGACCAGGCTCTATAGGTAAGCAGACCTGGGGGTAAGTCCCAGCACTTCCACTAACTAGTTGTTTAATACCTACCCTTACAGGGTTGTTGGAAGAATTAAATAAGAAGAAAATGTTAAGTAAAGTTACTAGCTCACTGTAATTCTATTAATAGTAACGTGTTTCTCTACTAATTATAACAATAGCAGGCTTTTTTGAGCATTTATTATGTGCCAGGCACTGTTGAGTCCTTACGTGTGCCTCATTTCACTCACAACACTCATGAGGCAGGTCTTCTCATCCTGACTTAACAGATGAGACAAAACGGGTAAAAAGAAGTAACTTATTTAAGGTCACAAAGCTTGCATGATAGAAATCAGGGGTTTGAATCCATGAAGACTAGCCCTAAACTGTCTCCTCTTAAATATTCCATTATTTATTTATTTATTTATAAAGATGACTGGTAAGGGGATCTCAACCCTTGGCTTGGTGTTGTCAGCACCACACTCAGCCAGTGAGCCAACCAGCCATCCCTATAATATAGGATCCAAACCTGTGGCCTTGGTGTTATCAGCACCGCACTCTCCCGAGTGAGCTACAGGCTGGCCCTTAAATATTCCATTATGCTGTGTCTTAATTATCCCTGTTGGCCCATTAGGGCAGGCACTAATTCGTTTGTTGAGTGGGCTGTCCTTGGAGCTTGAAGCTCTGCAACCCTCACCTCAGGCTGTCAGAGAAAGCCTCCAGGCCAAACTTGGAGACACAGTAGCCCCCGCCATTGGCTGCCAGGCGACCCAGAACACTGGTGATATTGATCACCCGGCCCCGGGCCTGCTGCAGCAGGGGCAGCAGGGCAAGGGTGACCCCGATGGGACCCAACGTGTTCACATTCAGCACCCGATGGAAATCATCCCGTGTCAGCCATGGTGTGGGTCCGATGACACCAGCCACACCAGCATTATTCACCAGACCAAAAAGCCCTGTGGGGAGATGAGAGACACCAGGGATAGAGGAGGCATTCCTACAGGCCCCTCTCCTTCCTGGGATGATCTATCCCTTCTAGTTTTCCAAAGCTCCTGCAAGTGACTCCTGGGGTCACTGGAGGAGATCAGTAACACCCCACACCATGTTCCAGGAGGCCCTACCATACTCACCTGCTTCCCTAACATGTGTCTCCACCCACTTGGCTGCCTGCTGGACACTCTGGGGATCAGTGACATCCAGCAGGGTGGTGTGGAGGCGGGAGGAGGCCAACTGCTGTAGGTCCTCTGCCCCTGAGGGGGTCAGGCAGCTGGCCAGGACTCGAAAACCCTTTTGGTCCAGTCGCAGTGCCAGAAGGCGTCCAAAGCCTGAGTCACAGCCGGTGATGAAGACGAAGGCATCACGGGTGGGCAGGCTCTGCCGGTCCCTGAGCAACCACAGCACTGCCCAGAGCAAGGCACCCAGCAGCAGAAGTAGCCACATGACTGGAGCCCAAGTGACCTGCAGGTGGCAGCCTAGGCTGGGTGGTAAAACTTGTCCAGTTTACTCCAGCCCTCAAGTCCTTGCCCCTAATATCATCCCTAGCTGGAAGTGTCTGGTCTGAGCAGATTGAGAAATTTCCTGTTTGGCAGATATTTGGCACACCATGGCTTATTTATGCAAAGCAAAGATGTGGGCAGACCTTATATTTGTGGCTAACATCTAAAAGCAGATGAGCTGGGTCCTGTGTGCAGACCTGCTATATGGCAGCATAGGGATAGTCTTGTTTTCTGTCATATCTTCTCTCCTACTAAACTAGGGACATCTGAACCCTCTGAACGTAACCTGGGCCTTGTTTTTGGAACCATGTACAGGGCCAAGAGCCTTGCATTTTAGTCCTGGTGCCCCAAATTTGCTGTGTGATGCTGAGTATCTCACTGCATCTCTAAACCTGTTTTCTCATCTACCAAGTGGGGCTAACACCCACCAGGCCCATTTCAGAGCTGTGGAGGATCAAAGGGGATAACATGTTAGGAAGCACATTAAAAGCTTAAAACTTTGTTGTCTTTTTTTTTTTTTAAAAACATGACCGGTAAGGAGATCTTTTTTTTTTTTTTTTTTTTTTTTAAAAAAGGCCCGGTAAGGGGACTTTTTTTTTTTTTTTTTTTAAAAAAGGCCCGGTAAGGGGACTTTTTTTTTTTTTTTTTTTAAAAAAGGCCCGGTAAGGGGACTTTTTTTTTTTTTTTTTTTAAAAAAGGCCCGGTAAGGGGACTTTTTTTTTTTTTTTTTTTAAAAAAGGCCCGGTAAGGGGACTTTTTTTTTTTTTTTTTTTAAAAAAGGCCCGGTAAGGGGACTTTTTTTTTTTTTTTTTTTAAAAAAGGCCCGGTAAGGGGACTTTTTTTTTTTTTTTTTTTAAAAAAGGCCCGGTAAGGGGACTTTTTTTTTTTTTTTTTTTAAAAAAGGCCCGGTAAGGGGACTTTTTTTTTTTTTTTTTTTAAAGAACACCAAAAGGGGGCTTTTACCCCTTGACTTGGTGTTGTCAGCACTACGCTCACCCAGTGAGCAACCGGCCATCCCTATATGGGATCCGAACCCGTGGCCTTGGTGTTATCAGCACCGCACTCTCCCGAGTGAGCCACGGGCCGGCCCAAAGCTTTGTTGTCAATACACGTAATATCTAGCTAGTCTTCTCATAATACCCCCAGTTCCCAGTGTCCCACTTACCTCCTCTGGGGAAAGCTGGCAGGTACTAGAACACCTGAAGCTTCTTTTTTTGCTTTTGTTTGAGAGGCTTTGCTCCCAGTCTTCCCAGACTCCCACACTAGCTACAGATAAAGCCAAAGTCCGGAGTGGGTGGACTCGGTTCTGGGAGTATTAAGTGTTTGTATGATGGGGTGGGGGCAGGGCTGAGGAGGAGGAGCCAGGGTGGCTGGAGCTTGCCTAGCTGAAGCCAAGGCTTGGCAGAGACCAGATCTGCCCAGGACCCCTCCTTGGCTGTCTTTCTCAGCCTGAGTTCCTAACCACCTATGTCATGGACTCCCAGGAACGGGGAATTGTCAAGGATGGCAGCTGACCCTCTCTGTTGGTGGCCTTAGACCTGTCATTCCTCCCCCTTCTCAGCCCTGAAGTGCCCCCACACCCAGTGATTAATCTTCTACCTGGCCCAGACTCATGACACTGCTTAGTGCCAGCCTGGGAGAGGCCACGAGCACGTGGAGCGGCAGAGAGCCAGAGCTGGGACCAGGCCTGCTCCCTGTCTTATTTCTTCTCCTTTGCAGGAAACTGAAGTTCCTGAATTAGGAAGCTGGGGGCAGAGGCCACTAGGACCTTCTATGGAGAGGTCTGGGAAACTCCCACCCTCTGCTTATCCAACAGACACCTGCACTAGACCCAAGGAGAAGAGAGTTGGGATGGTAAGAGGAAGCTGGTTCCACCTTCTACCCAACAGGTACCTGTCCCTCAGGAAAATAACCTTTGAATCTTCCACTTCCACCCCTCACACTGGAGCTAGTAGCTCATTGAAACACAACTCAGAAACGGAGGCTTGTGATTTATTCATGGTCTGTCAGCCTCCTTCCTGCCCCTGTTAGTGAGGTAGGAGGGGTGAGGTAGAGGAGGAGGGAAGAGGGGTTAGGAAGGGGCAGACTGTAGCTGCCCTTTGTAGACATATTCCAGTGCGGTGGCAATGGTGCGCATGTCCAACTCGATGCTTCGAGCCCAGTTCTCCACGTCCCCGATTTCCTGGGAATGAGGAGAGGGGATGGGAGCCCAGGAATCAGGATGAGTAGAGTATGTCTCCCAGTCTGGGGGCACTTTTCATCCATCTCCTGGAAAGGGATTTACTCTGACCCACCGAGTGCTTTTATTTCGTTTTATAGCTTCTCTGATACTGGGCCCTAGGTGGGATTTCTGGGACCATCTCCACTTTCTCCTTAACCCCAGGCCTGAGATGACCTGACTGGTGACAGCCAATTGGGAACCAGGATGGGGGTAGTGATGTTTGGAGTGTGGCCCACCTTGAGTGCCTGGTTGAAGTTCTCCACCATCCCGATCCACTGGCCTGTCTGCTTGGCAAATTGGGCAGCCTGGATCTGTAGGGTCTTCACCTCATGGTCCAGCTTTCTCTGGTTCATGTAGGCCTGGGCCACACTAGGGTTTGGAAGAGGGAGGAGGTCAGCTCACCCAACTAGTGGGGAGTGGTCTCCAGGACTAACAGTCCATTGCAGTAGTGGAAGGCAGCCAGGAGTCAGGGCTGGCTGGGGAAAACCTCCTCGCGATTTTGGCCACTCTTGGATGTGATGCAAATGACTACCAGTACATGCAAATGAATACCCTCTCTTTCTTCCCACTCCTAGGATTCCCAGGAAAGCCAAAGTGGGAGCTGATTAGAAACATACCCTCTCCTACTTTCAAAGGAGTTCCTGCAGCTGGGTGGGGGAAGGAAGGGTTAACCTGGGGGATATCCCCAAGGAAGAAGCTAGGAAGGAAAAGGGGGCGTGGCAAAGCTGGGAAAATCCAACAACAGGGACACATCTGGCAGTGATTGGAAGCCCAGGGATATGTGCAAGAAGTTTTGAAGGGAAATGGGACCTCTCCCTGAAACTGGAGTGAGATGGGAGAGCAACCCCCTCCCCAGGAACCCTGGGTCAAGAGATGAAATCCCAGGGGTTTCTTCTTGGCTCTCCGTCTCTCTCGCAACCCTTCTCCTTTCGCCCACACAGATGAATGAACCTATACACACTCCCTCCCTTCTGCTGTAGGCAATAGTTTTTCTTTTCTCTTCAATCAAGGTATTGGCTGCAGCTACCTTTACCTACTCTGCCAATATTTTTTGCCCCTCCCCCCCAATAACTGTTCTCCTTTATTGGCTAATGAGTCTTTCACGCTCCACCCCAAAGCTCTAGGTCAGCCAGGAGATTCCACATCTGGTGCTCTCACCTACTGGAATGTGTGGGGGCTGGAGGGAGCAAGGAGTTGGGGAGGGGGTCAAAAGAGTGGGCAGGACACCTGACAGCGGCTGAGATAGACTGAGCCTTTGTTTTCCTTTCCGGAGAATTAAAAGAGACGTGGGAAGCAACACAAAACCCTTTCTAATCTGGCTTTAGCTTAGCTGCCCTCTAAGCTGAAAGTGGGGTGGCAAAGGAAGAGAAGCAGCCTGGGCCAATCTAACAAATGGTGTGCATGGCAGAGCCCAGGAGGTGCCAATGTGGGAGGGAGAAAAGGGGGCCGACCCTGTCCGTTCTCTTTGGAAGACAGCTGGACTATCGTAGATGGTGGGTTAGGAGCTGAAACATTAACATTAGGGGGCTCCCAATGCCTCCAACAGATCCTGCTGGGAGTTCCTGAAATCCCAATTTTCCCTATTAACCTCCTGTTTCTATTGTTTACGCTGAATGAACAGAGTCGCTTGGAGGGAAAAGAGATCAGAAGCTCCAACCATAGCCCTCTTTTCCCCTAAACTCCCCACACTGTTGATGAGTAATGAAGATGGCCCCAGCTCCTGCATGGCTCACTTGGATGACTCAGTCTCTGGATTCACAACCAAGCTGTTCTACTTGCCCTGGGATGGAAGGCATCATACTGCCTCCTTTTGAAATCATCTGTGCACTCTTCTGGGTCACTCTCAGGGTCAAGAGACAATGTTGTTGGCTTCTTCACAAATCTTTGGCTGTTACTAGTATTCTCATTTAGGGCTGGGGCACGGGGTGGTCCCTGGAGACCAGAAGGAAAGGAAGAGACCGCATGGCTCTGCTGTAGCTCCTGGCATACGTTCTACTCTCACCCCACCAGCTGTGCCATCTCTTTCCTGCCAGCTGCTCCCCAGGCTTCCCAGAGCGTGGGAGGAGGAGGAGGAGAGGGTGGTAAGCTATGGTGAAGGAGGGTGCTCTCCCTCCCGCTGACGTGACAGCTGGACTTGGAAGGGCAAAGGGAGGTGGGCAGATGGCATGAAGTTCTAAGTGCCAAGGAAGTTAATGTGGGGAGGGAGAAATCTGGCTGCTTCTCCAACCACTGCAGCTGCTCCTCCCTTGCCCAATGCTAGGTGTCAGAGCTGACTCAAGCCTCTCTCCATAAAGTTAAGCTGTGGGGTGGATAGGTGGCAGGATGGTGGAATGAACGGAACACCCCACCCCTTTCAAGAGCAGTCTGAGGGCCAGACCTTGCCAGTGCCTAAACTTGGGCAGGGTGGGGTGGGGGACTGGGAACTAGTGTTGATGGAAAGAGGTTCATACCCCACATTGAGGTGGTCCACCAAAGCTTCTGTCAGGCAGGTCGCTGCAGTGATAGCCTCTCGCCTCCTCTTCTCTGCAGGGAGGGGTAAAAGGAACGGGAATAGACAGGGCTAAGGTTTCCCCACTCATTCGTTTCTATTTTGCTAGTTGCCGGCACATCTCAAGTAATCTCAGAACGCCAGAGCTGAAAAGGACCTTGCAAAATTTAAAGCAATCCCTTTCATTTTAGAGATGAGGAAACTGGACTCAGAGAGGGGAAGGGACTTGCTCAGGGACGCCAAAGAGTCAGTGGCAGCGCCCAAGACTTTTGACTCCCAGGCATTATTTCTCTACTATCTTGGCCGAAGGATCGGTAACTCTGGTAACTCCGGGATTCACAGCGGGACTCAGGAAAAAAGTGCCCGTCCTCAATTTCGGCGGTTTCAGGCCTCCAAAAATCCGGTCTCTGGGCGGCCCCCAACACCCTCCTCCTCCCTTCAGGGGCGTTCCTTCCACTTCCAGGGTGAGAGGCTCCCTGGACCAATAAGCACAGCGTTCCATGAGCGGGGGGCGGGGCTAGGATGCCGCGAGTGGGAGATTGGGGGCGTTGCCGAGGGGGACGAGAATGTTACCAGAGGGACAAGAGCCCGTTGGCAAGGGAACGGAATTCCAAAAAAAGCCGTCCCCTAATTCCCTCTTCCCCACGGTCGTTGCCCACTAGCCGGCGCCCTTCCTTGGATCTGGACAATTACTCGGGGTCCAGGCTCCGGGCTGAAGTTAGGCCGCGGCCGGAGAGAAAACAGCCATCGTGATATTCGGCTCACCCTGCAGCTCCTTGCGTTCATTCTGCTTGGCCTGGTGCTCTTTCAGCAGGCGGGACAGCATGGTCGCGTCGGGCTGGGGGTTGGGCACGCCGGGCTTCCTCTGGCTCCAGAAGCTGGAATGAGCACCTCGGCTCCCGCAGGGCCGGGGTCACGTGACTGCTGTGTCACATGAGGCTGGGAACCGCCCTCTTTTTGAGTCTTGGGGTGGTAGGTAGTGAAGATCTTGGCGGGGAAGGGAGGTGGAGGTTTGAGGGGCGGGTAGGCTCTTTTCTTTATTGGGGGCTCACTTTTTGGCGACTATAGGTAGAAGTTTTCTTTAGTACCTATATCCTTTGGATCTTAGGCTCCCGGGAGGGTGGTTGTTGCCAGGCCGTCCATCACGGTTCGGCTGTTGGGGGAGCAGAGGCTCCCTGCATTCATTGAAATTCTTTTCCTTCCTTCGCCTTACCCCCTGGCAGTGCTGGCGGGTTCTCAGTTGATTCCCAGCTCCCTCCCTCTAGGAGAGACTGCTTTCCTCTCTTTTCCAGTCCTCTTTCTTCTCACTATGCCACCGAGGTCGCTGAGCTCTGGGTGATCATTGTAGAGAAGCATTTAAGGCACTTCAAGTGGCCTCCTAGGGGAGCCTTGCTAATTCGGCAGGCTATGTGTGGTAAGTGCACAATTCCATCTTTGTCCTTTTGTGGTCAGGGAATGCAAACCCACTTCAGTCTTTGCAGAAGCATAAGTGCTGCTGCCAAAGTAAAAGGTAAATTATATAACGCCTATCTGAACTAAAGAGAAGCGCTTTCGGGATTAACTCCAGCAAGAAAAATTATAAACATCAAGCAACATATTCTTGCTATTGCTACAATCTCTTGGTGCACCTTGCACTAATATGCTGGATGACTTTGGGCAAGTTGCTCATCCACTCTGGATTTTAGTTTTTCTATTTAGGAAAATAAGAGGAGTGGATTAAATCAGTGGTTCTTAATTAACCCTAGCTAAACATTGGAATCACATGGGGGAGCTTTTAAAAATATCTTGGCCTTAGACTAATTAAATAGAATCTCTGGGGCCGGCCTGGTGGCGCACTGGATAAGTGCGCCGCTTGGGAAGTGCGGCGGCGCTCCCGCCTGAGGGTTCGGATCCCACATGCAGACCGGTTCCCGCTCACTGGCTGAGCGAGGCGCGGGGGCAACACCGAGGGTTGCGATCCCGTTGCCGGACACAGAAAAAGACAAAAAAAAAAAAAAAAAAAATAGAATCTCTGAGGGGTGAAACCCCAACATCAGTATTTTTTTAAAAAGCTGTTCAAGTGATTCTAATGTGCATCAAAGGTTGAAAATTGCCAAACCAAACCGTATCTAATATTGTTTCCAATTTTGGCATTGTCTCATTTTGTGATTCAGTGGCACAGTTAAAATTGACTTCATCATATCTACTTGCAGGGGGAGGAGAAATAGGTGACTGAGTTGGGATAAAAATTCATTCAGCTATCTGTAGAATAGCATCTTAAATCCTGAGAGAGGTACAGCCGTCGTAGGATTAGTGAGAAGA